CCCGCCTCCCCAACCCCCTCCCCTCCGACGGCCCCCCCCCTTTCCCTCTTCTTTCTCTCCTCCCTTCTTTACAGGGCAGGGTGCAGTTTTCGTCACAGCCTCCCCTGACCAATCCCTGTGCCTGGCGCCGGGCGCGGCCACCAATCAGACCACTGAAACCGCGGCGGGTTGCATCATGTGCCCCTGGCTTGGTGACAGCGGGGAGGAGCAGAGGAATAAGGAGGGAGGGGGCAGTGCGATGTTAGCCACGCCCCTGTCTCTGAGGTCGGACTCCGAGTGCTAGTGATGTCACGGAAGCCCGCCTTCATGCCCGTTTTAACTCTTGGCTCACCAACCAAGAGATTAAAAACCCTCTCGAGGAGCTTTATAGAAGGAAGGGCATAGGGCATGAAGGAAGGCCCCGACTGCTGCCCTCTGAAACCCTGTCTCGTCTCAGGGTCCCTGAGAAAGGAACGAGACTTAGCTACCTGCGCCAGGCTCAGCTCTAGACGCAGCTAGCTCTCCGCCCCTGGATGGAGTAGTCCAATTCCTTGATGTGAGTCGCTTTAAAAATTAAGGTGACTCGGGAATTAAGAGACTCGGGAAAGTGAAGACCTAGGTCGGAAATGAAATCTAATTTAGAGCGCACAGCTCACTGAACTCCAGTGGGGAGAGTGACTTAAGATTCAAGGGAATTCTGTGGTCTTCGAAGAGTGGAGGCCTCTTGGGGTGAATAGCCTGGAGTTCTAAGTCGGAAGGGGTTAAGCGAGGCGCTAAATGGCCGGGGCGGGGCGGGGCCGCGAACGGGGCGGGGCCAGGGCGACCGCGGGCGCGCGCGTGCGTTGCTGACTCAGCGGCGATTCCCGCGGTCTCCGGTGGAGGGTTCCAGGTTGGCCCCCAGCGACTGGCTTGTGGGACCTTCGGAAGATCGGCGCCATCTCCGGGCCTTCCCTGGATCCTGGCCCCTAGTGGAGGTGGCTCTTGGTCTCAGCCGCCGGAGGCTCTAGGAAGGAAGGCTAGCCTGAGCTGGGCGGGGCGGGACAGGGCGGGGACGTCAGGCCAGCGCCTCCCTTGAGACCTCCCTGCCACACCCGCCCTTCTTGCCCGGGGTCCCCAGACTCCTGGCTGGAGTGGTAGGGGCAGCTTTGCTGACCGGATATTAAACTGCGAGCCTTGTCGCACGTGAACACCATCCTGCCTATCGTGCTTGTGTAAAACAAAGACCAGGAATCAATGCGACCGTCTCTAGAGGCTATCTATCCCCGTCTTGTCCTCACCCCGGATGACAGTGACCAGCACTGAGATTTCCTAGGGATGGAGACATTCAAACCATATACTCGCTTCCCTGTCTAGATCCCGGGTCTTTGCAGGAAAGTTCTTTCCGATGTCTAACCTCTCTCTTTCCGGCAGGCTCAGTGCATTTCCTCTGACCCCGTCCCCAGGGAAGATGGAGAATGGCAGTCACCCCCACCCCCACCACACCCATGATAACGACTCTGGAAATTTTCAATTTGGAATTCTCTCCTTGGTTTTTCTCCAAGGTGAAAAACTCCGACTCAACTTTTTAAATAACCTTTTTCTTTCCGCCACAGAACTTTAGAAGGGACTGTAAAGTGGTAATCTAATCCAAAAGCCCACCCAAAACGGAAATCTCCTGCCCATTGTCCCTACCCCCACACCAGGCACAGGCACACACAGTCCCCAACAGCCTTAGCCTGAACATTCCAGAGGCCAGGAACCCGGTACTTCATAAGGCAGCCATTACTGGATAGCACTGTGGTTGTTAGAAAGCTCGTCCTTACGCTACTTTAAGAGGAACCCCAGCCCCTCGTTGCCTGGCAGCTTTCCCACCTCACCTCTTGTTCACAGAGACCTGGTGAAGGTGGAGGGAGTGTCAGTGCCTAGAGCTTCAGCAGGCTCAGCAGCCCTGCACCCCCACCCAGATTCTCAGCGCCTTCCACTCAGAGCCAAGCGCACTGAGGGGGAGGGGGAACCCACCGGTTCTGCCCTGCTACAAATCACTTCCAAGTCGGTGACTCAAAAATAGTAACAGTTGTTGGGTTGTATCTCATTTCCATGTTATCAATTTAATGTGGCAAAGTACAGAAGCAATTCCTTTAGGTCCCTACCTCCTTCTCAGGGTCTCCCCACCTACTCCCCTTTCCCACTACCCTCCCTGGAATCATTTCCTCAGCCCGCCCTCTCCCCTTGATTCGCAGCCCTAGTAGTCCCAGGAGGAGACACTGTGGGTCTCAGTGGGAGCCGAACAGGAAGAGAGGCGGGGCCGGCGGGGGCAGCGGCCCCGGGGGCGAGGCCCTGGGCTGCAGCTCCCACCCCGCAGCAGCCTCCGCAGGTCCTGGCGGAATCGCAGGCCCAAAAAGGCGTAGAGTACGGGGTTCAGGCCGCAGCGGGCCAGGGCCAACCCTCCGGTCACGAGCAGTGCCAGATCCTTGCGCTTGCTGGCAGGGCAGCTCCGCTCGCGGGCAGCCAGTAGGTCGGCCGTATCCAGTAGCAGGGCGAGACTGTAGGGCAGCTGCAGGACCACGAAGGCCGCCACCAGGGCCACCACGACGCGCAGCGCACGCCGGCGCTCGGGCCCCCTGGCGGCCAGCAGCGTGCGGCCCAGGAGCGCATAGCAGGCGGCCATGACGCCCAGCGGCAGCGCGAAGCCCAGGACCACCTGCGCCACGGCGCTTGCCCCCTTCACCGTCTGCGTGAGGCCCTCGGGAAAGATAAGACGGCAGCGCCGCTGGCCTTCCCGCTGCCCATCCTGGCTGAAAAGGAGAGCAGGCAGCGCGAGAAGCAGCGACAGCAGCCATACGATGGCTGAGACCACGTGTGCGCGGCCTGGCGCAGAGGGCCTCGGTCCAGCGGGGAGGGCCCGCGCGATGGCCACATAGCGGTCGGCGCTGATACAGGCCAGGAAGAGGAAGCCAGCGTGGAAGGAGGCTGAGTAGAGGCCCGAGATGGCGCGGCAGGTGGCACTTCCCAGACTCCAGCCCTGCAGAGCCCCGGCTGCGGCGAAGGGCAGGGTTAGGGCCAGCAGAAGGTCGGCCAGGGCCAGCTGGAGCAGGTGGGCAGAAGTGGGCGAACGGACAGCACGTCGGGCTGCCAGGTGGGTGGCCAGGACCAGGCCATTGCCGGCCAGACCCAGTGCAGCCACTGCCAGGGAGACACTGGGTTGGAAGGCCCGACTGAAGGCCTGGACATCTGCCTTGTAGCAGAGTTCTGGCAATGGCTCAGCCGAGTATGCCTCCTCATCATACCCAGAGTAGGGGCTCCAGGAGACCTGGGGAGGTCAAAATGAGAGGAGAGACCTTATGAGACACCTCCCACACACCTCCCCTTCCCACACATACCTTCCAAGCTGGGAGCTTCTGTGACCGTTGTGCAGAGGGAGAAGATACAAACTCTTCTCCAAACCCTTCCTAGCACACCCTCCCAACAGGTCTTGGCTTCCACTGCACCCCTCCTGCCTCTGCATGCAGCTTCCTGGCTGACCTTGACCTGTCTGTATCTCAGTTGCCTAATATGTAATGTTGAGATTAGAAACCCTGACCAGCCCAAGCGGCAGAGTTGTTTGAAATAAGGAAGAGGTAATGGATGTGAAGCACCTGGGCTCCCCATGAGCCAAGGTTTCTGTCACTAGTAGATCTTGGGGATTCGGTTCTGTTTGCAGCGCCCTCTCCTGGAAGAACACCTACATTCAGGCTTTGCCTCAGGGCTGGTCCCTGGACTCCAGGCATGGTGTGGAGAGGGTTTCTAATGTCTTTTTTCCTTTCTCCCCTCCCTGCCCCATCTCTACCTCCAGTACAGGTACACTGAATGACTCATGGCAAGGCGGGGGGTCTCAAGGGTTGGACCTCAGGTTTTCTGGTCTCGGTTGCAACCTGGGACCTTGAGGTTCAGCTCACTATTCCCCTCAGTCCAGTCTCATCCCCCAACCCCAGCCTCACATCACCAGCCCCATCTATCTGGAAGGTCCTGATCCCAGATGGCTCCAGGCATCCTGGATAGGTCATAGCATGGTAGAAGCTTGTTACCAAGTGGGGAATCCCATCCCTTTGCCTTATCCTCCCTCTCTATAACCCTTCCTCCCTGCCCCCACTCCCACCTGTTCTGCAGGCTCCGTCCCCATCTCTGGCTACAAGGGTTTCTGAGGTATAGCCACTAGGGAGAGAAGTTAAGCTAGTGGGACAGGAAGGAAGGGGCGGGGAGAGGGGCCAAGAGGGCGGTGGGGATAGGGTCTGTGAGCCCTTTTTACCTAACTTTCCCATTCCACCCTCTATTTTTTTTTTTCTTTTTTACCCTGCCAGTAGAAAAAGAAGGGGTTTTTGGAATATCATTTGCTAGCTACTTGTGTGATCTTGAGTATGTTTACCTCTTTGAGCCTCAGGCTTTTCATCTGTAAAGTGGAGTAAGGTAAAAATGCTGAGTTGACAGGGTAATGAGAGTGCCTAGCACGGGTGTTTGGGGGCACAATTTGCCTTCAGAAAATGTTAGATTCTTTTACTTACTTATCTCCCCATCTCCAGGTAGCCCCCCCCCCCCCC